ATATCAGTTCTTGAGGCCCTGAGTTTCATTGCACTCTGGAAAAAAAATGATTCGCCGCTGCGAAAAATGGGAGCAACGCAAAATACTAGCCGCGACACAAAGTCCGCAGAATTTTTTCGGCGACGTCGCGGGGAGCGCTTGCAGAGGATGCATGTCGCTAGTGCAAAAACGGAAAGTCGCAGCGGCGCGGGCGGAACAAGCGCAAAAATCTACGGACTTTATGGCTCTAGTAACAAAGAACCGTACTGCGCAAATCCTCTGAACTTTTATCAGTCTGTCGGGAAAATAATGAGCACTCTGTAGCATCGAAAATCGCATCGCCGCCAAAAAAATGAATTGTGTCGCAGCAAAATCAAATTGCTTTTTTCAGTGACGCAAGCGACATTATGCCCATTATTTTCCCGACAAACTGATACAAAGAAATCTCTGTCCCACTATCAGTCTGTCGGGAAAATAATGTGGATTTGTAGTGCCTTCGACGCGGCCAAATTGTTTTGCAACGGCTAGGTCGGAGATTGGCGCGCACAGCGAAGAGACGAGAAATTTTGCTGCTACAAAGCCACATTATTTTCCCGATAAACTGATAGGTGCGCGGCGACATTGTGCTCATTATTTTCCCGACAAAAATATAGAACATCCGTGTAGATCCGAAATTTCGTTTGGCCCGGCGAACCTAACTACCGTAACGTGCGTTCCAAATGTCACAATTGTCCTTTCAATTAGCCCTATTTTTGCACACAAAATCTAGTTACGGAGAGTTCAGGTATTCTGAGAACGTTTTACGTAGAGGTAAAGTTGATTGTGTTAGCCGGCTTCGCGGAAATTATTCTCAATTTTACCGAGACGGGAAGTGGGCCTCGTGTTGGTCTTTGTGACGAAGCATGCGTAAAGACGTCTTACAGCGTGAAATTTAACTGAACTCAAAACCTGCTATTCATTCAATAAGAGCTGTTTTTTGGCGGAAAACTTTTTTCGTTTCAAAAACCACACGTTCTTCACGTTTTAATCAAAAAAAAATTGAATTGTATTCCGCTGTACTTGGGTATTTGCTCCATTAAACACGCTGTATTTCCACACTCCTTTGTGATGTCTCGCACAACACTCATGCGCCGGCACAGTTGTACCCAATGCAATGTTTTCCACGTAGTCCGACTACGTCGAGGTGTTATTAAATATATTAGTACGAAGGTTGCGTAATTGGATCGGCCTTTTGGTAATAACAGCTTGCCGTGTGGGCACGTTAAAGGGCTCGTACCGTGTGCGCTTTGGGGAAATGAACCGTCAAAAAAATCTTTTTATTATACTATCAGTCTGTCGGGAAAATAGTGAGCGCAATGTCGCTGCGCCTGTCGCGTCGCTGAAGTGAAGAGAAATCTGATTTTTCCGCGATACAATTCATTTTCTCGGCGGCGATGCGATTTTCGATGCGACAGAGTGCTCATTATTTTCCCGACAGAGTGACAGCTCCTTCTTATATTAGTCTGTCGGAAAAATAACGGCGGATCGTCGCATCAAAATGTCTCGCCGCTATCGCGCACCAAGTCCCAAGTCGCGGCTTGCAGTCGCAAAGCGATGATAGGCGATTCCGAGGCGCGACGATCCGCCGTTATTTTCCCGACAGACTGATAGTCGCTGGTGTGATTTTGCGACATGAATTGTGTAAGAAAAGTCAGAGGTCAGGGTGCGGGCGACAGCCGCAAAACCCCTATTGCACGGTGAGAAGTAAACCTTTGGTTTCGCACAGTGCATGTCGTAGAAACCGCCTCTGCGGTTTCTGCGAGTCAGAGTGGAAGCGACGGCCCGAAAAAGCCTGTTACAGTTGCAAAAAGCAAGAAATTGCACAGTCCAAGGCGAAATTTTCATAATAGTTGCGGCAAAAAGTCCTCGGAATTTTCGGCGACTCTGCACTGTGCATGAACCCGGAAAACATTTTGCACCGTGCATTCGGCGCAAAAAAGTGCTTTTGCACACGCAACTTTGCTGTTTTTGCCTTACGTCGTGCGCGATTCCCATTTTTTGCAAGCGACAAATCAACTTTTCGAAGTGCGAGGGATGCGCCAATCGCGTCGCTGAAATGAAAAGCTATTTGACTTTGTCGCGACACAACTCATTTTTTCGACGGCGATGCGATCTTCGATGAAACAGAGTGCTCATTATTTTCTCGACAGACCGATAATTATCATTCAGCACGTGGGATGTCATCATAACTTTTTGCCGTCGTAAGTGGTGCCCTTGACGACAAAATATTTTTGACATTTTTTCCCCATGATTCAAAAATGACTGTGCTTTAACATTGTCACGGCTAGTGAAACTAGTTTCTGTTTTAATAAGCAATCAATCTCTCAACATCAGCAATCTCTTTTATTTCCAGAGATTGACTTGAAGCGGGTGTTTCTTTTCCCTTTCAACGGCTTGCAAACATCCACCTTTTTTGGGGGTTTATTAATCATGAAGCTAGGAGCGGGTAATGTCAGCATGTCGGGAAAATAGTGGTGGGTTGTCGCGCCTTGAAATCGCCGAGCATCGCTCGGCGACAGCTGCAAAGTCTGGTGCGCGCAACCCTTTTTCGACGGGGCAAAACGTCTGGCTGCGATGACCCGTCACTATTTTCCCAACAGAATGAGGAATAGCTTAGGTCTACATCCCTTTAGCCATGGCTGTCATCGTTCCTAAACATCTTCCCGCAACGATCCGCTACTACTTTTCCACAGACTGATAGTCAGTTTGCAGTGAGTGATTCCTGTGACATACAGTCGGCTTCCGCTCGCGCCCTGACCAGAGATTGCCAGGCTCTTGGCTCCGGCCTTGAGCGGCTGCGGCTCCGAACCGGGAGCAAGAGCCGGAGCTGGAGATTTTGGGCGTGGCTCCGGCTCCCGAGCCCAATCTCGGAGCCAGGCATCTCAGCGTTCAGAAAAGTAAAAATTTCATGATCTTTGATGTGCTGCTTACAATTTGGCTACAAAAACGTTGGGTGTGTGATTTCTGGTACCACTAACTTTTATTTTTGGAAAAATATTTAAAAAAAATAGCCCGGATTCGGAGCCAGAGACCATGTTAATTTTTTTTACGGGAGCCGGGAGCCGGAGCAGTATAGCCTGGCCAGAGCCAAAATTTTAACCGTGGCAATCTCCGGCCCTGACATTTTTCGCACAGCGCAAGCCGCTGGAGTGATTTCGTGATTTTAGCGACATGCACTGTGCGAAAACGAAAGTTTACTCTGCACTGTGCAATTTGTTGGGTTTGCACCGTGCAATAGGGTTTGTTGGGCTGTCGCTCGCCCTGACCTTTTCTGCCCAGTGCAAACGCCAAAAATCACTCCAGCGACTTTACGAACGGACAAGTGTTTTCATCGTATATGTACTTGGTTAGTGATGCCCTTTTCCGCAGCTCCGTGCACAAACCATGACAACAATTTTTTGAACAGGGGATTGTGTGACCGCCGTGTTCTTTACTGTTTTTTTCGCCGAAGATTGTAGTCAGTATGATTTACGTAAGCCGATGAAAGCCCTTACCCTTTTCATAGCCAATTGTAATTTGATTGTTTGCGAACGGAAGCAATCCTTACTTACATTCCTTTGCATTGCCCGTGGCGTACACGTGATTCTTCGCAAAGTTACACATACATATATCGTATGGTTGTTCATGCTATATTCTGCCTATTTGATTATACAATTAGTGGCTATGAATATAAGTTGAATTAAAATTGATGTTAGTCCGTTCGAGTCGATGAAGTGACTTTGCCGACGTGCACTTTGTACGAAATTTCAGGGTGTGAGTGACAGAGCAAAAAAGTCCTATTATACGGTGCAATAAGCAAGAGATTGCACAGAATTTTTTTTCGTAGAGTGCATGTTGCGAAGATGACTCCATGGACTAATATTATTAGTCCGTCGGGAGCATCAAAAATCGCATCGTCGCCGAGAAAATGAAGCGTGTCGCGACAAAATCGAATCACTTCTAATTCAACGGTGTGATTGGCGCGGCGGCACTGTGCTCATTATTTTCCCGACAGGCCGATACGGACAAACACTGTGCGAACACAAAAAATTCCTTTGCACTGTGCAATTTTTGGTTTTTGCACCGCGCAATGGGCTTTTTTTGGGGCCGTCGCTTCGCTCTGACTTTATTGCACAGTGAATGCCAATAATCAGTCCGGCGACTTTCCGGACAGACTAGTACAATTTCCTTCCGAAATTCGTCATTTTGTCCTCTTACTGTCCCGGAATAGACGGAACGTCATCCATAGGCGGTGGGATGGATTCCAAAGATTTTGGGCGTTTAATCACCATGGGGGCATGTTCTTCGAACACAACTTGAAACAAATCTCTAATCTGCTGTTGCTTCCGGCCTTAATAGGTGTTTTTCGAAGCGCCACATATCGCGCTATTTTTAAATCATTTAAAAAAGTTTCCAATTTTTCATACTGCATTAGTTGTAGTTTTGGGGATACGGTGCTCGGGAGATCCGAAAATGCACGTTCTATTCCTCTAATCTGTGAGTCGTCACGAAAACGTGACATGCCGCGGCTCCGCGTTCTGGGCGTGGGTGACTGTGTTTTTAACTGGATTTTTGAGCTTAACATATTTCTGTAGGCAGGTATTAGGCCCCGTATATGAGTAAATCATGTATAATCTTGTGTTCTACAAAATTTGAAAAATAATTTGCGCAATCGTGCAAAGTTTTTCAGCCCTTCTTCGTTAATCCTTCGTTAACACTGAAAAACAGCGCTGATCTTCGGCTTTTGTGCAATCCACTTAGCGGTAATCCAAGTGTTATTCGCCCTGTAAACCGTATAACATCCGGAGAGTCATCGGGGTTTTAAATCGCGCTTCCAGAAAAACGCCCTGCCCCTCCCCATGCCGAAATTCTTTCGTATCCCTCCCATTTGGCGGCTTAACACTCCTTCCATTTGTTATTCTTGCGTATTATTTTCCCCGAGCCGTACGTGATTTTCGCAAGATTTTTGCCGTTTTTATTTACACACTACTCCCGACCTCCAGATGAACAAACCGGCACTGTCCCTGCTGCTTCTGGTGCTCTACTTCCTCGCCGCTTACTCGTTACCGGTGGAGCTGCGGCAGGACGATGAGGACGAGGACTACTACAACGCAGAAATTCAGACTCCACAGAAGCCGGAGTGCTACAAGTAAGTGGGGTTGGCGATGAGGGGAAAAGTTGACTCTCAAAGTTTTTACTATGACTTTCTAGTGTACAGTTGCATTTTGTACTAGCGGAAGGCCGAATTGTTGTCATATTTGGCGTTAGTTTGTATTCGCAAGACTGTAAAATCGTACAGTGTCCTGCGTTTCTCATTAATTTGCCTCAAACAGAGGCATTGGGAGAAACTGTGGCCTAACTTTATTCATTTCCCTTCTTCAGGCATGACGACTGCTCCTTCTGCTGCTTCAACCCCATCACAAAGGTCAAACTGACCGTGAAGCGAGCACGATGCGACGACGGGCTGTGCCAGTGCTTGTGCGAAATCCTATGATCTGCCGGTCGCCTTTCCTCTTGTGATATCAGTCCTTGGTCTTTAAAACGTTTTGTTTCTTTTTGTTGTAATAATACGTATGTAGTTTATGTCCGCTGACGACGCGGTCTCATCCTTTATTGTTTGAATAAAAATAGAAAAAATGTACAATGGTCAAGTGGGGTGCGTTTACAGGCATTCCTTTTGTAGTTTACTTTGACAAAAGGCCTGCACGTCCTCAGGCTTCGGCACGGAGCCGCTTGGGGAGGGGCATAAAACACAGCCGACGGCCCGGCGAACGATTAAGGCAAGGGGCGCGAAATTGGTTGCAGAACCGTCGTATAATCCGGATTAATTAATTCATCATGTATGAAGATTGTGTGCGAGGTCAGTGAATGATAGGTCGAAGATTTTTAGGCACTTAAATTTCCCCTTAAGCGGCTATAAGCTTCTTTAAAAAGAAATTTGTCTTAAGGCTTTACGTGAGATTTGGCAATTTCGAAAGTGCACTTTGTAGCGATTGGTGCTTTTATTTTTACCGTAGTGCAATGTTTCTCCACCGACAAGCCGTAGTTTTCGTCGAACGCAGCTCATCACGCTTGTTTTTCCCGCTTTGTTGGTTGGCACGTTACTGTAGCGTACGCACGTCACAAAGTAAAAAATGGTCTCCCTTTTGTATCTCTAAAGTTTCATCTTCTCCGGCACTTGGACTACTCCATAACAGAGCAGAATTGATCCGGTCTCCGAGCACAAAGCCATGCGTTGGCGGAGAAAAGCGGCTGGAATGAGCTAGTGCCCGTAAACTGATTAAATTTCCGGCCTAACGAGGAGTACAAAACAACAAGCCACAGAGCGCCGAGAACAGCGGCCCAGGAGAAGTCGTACAATGGACGTTTTGTTTTTAAAGTCCTGCGGTGAACATAATTCTGAGGGTTTTTGGTTCGATAAAACTTTGCATACTAGTCCGTTCACATAGACTTTGCGTCATGCACTGTGAGAAAACGATGGTACACCGTGTACTGTGGAATTTGTTGCTTGTTGCAGAGGGAAGGTCTGCTAGGCTAGGGGCTGGGGGTCCCCCAGTAAGAAATTATTTATTTTATGTATTACCTTGGATTATCACCTTGGTCCTTCCTTGTAACTTGTTTCCCTTCACCCACAACCTGGGGCACTTTAACCCTTTGCTACGCCCCTGGGAATAATTACACAGCAATACTACAAAATACAAGCTAGTAATCTATAAACCCCTTCCAAACTGGGTCCAAGATATATGTGAAACCAGTCAGGGTTCATCGAACGTTCTTGGTTAAATTTTGTCACGTTCATGGCGTCATTTTATGTTATAATAAATAGTATTAGTAGAGGACAAATACGTGATTAAAACTATTTTTTGATAATTCCGATAGGGTCGGTGTAGTCACCACAACTCGTCATGTTTGTGCACAACCCAATCGTCTTCGGACATTGCAAATTCCCCGCCGTTTTGCAGTCGAGTTGCTGTTTTATCATACGTGCAGTTCTGGCTTTCAGGAAGCTGAATAATTGTTATACAAAAGAGATTTAAGACTGCATTTTTGTGTTTCCTTAAGATGAATAGAAAAATAGCGGATTTCAAAACAAGATTTATCCGCAAAATTAAAGGCTTTGATTTACTGTTATAAAGATGGTATGAGGGATGAAAACATGGGACTTTCGGTGTTGTAGTCCTACTGTAGGTAGATTGCCCAATAGTATGCTAGAATTTGAGACTTAAATTCGGGATGATGGGCTTACCGTTGAAGCAGGCGAACGCCAGAGGGAATATCTGAAAATTGGCAAGGTTTTTTTCGATTTTGGTAACAGCTCTAAAAAAGAGGTCGTGCTTACTACTCGAGCTACGAAATCAATCCTCTCTGCCCAGCGGCTGTTCGCGGTTCGTTGATCATCGGCTTCGCATAGCGGCTCGTATACTTCACTGCTTCTGGGTAGTGCCGCATCTTGCTAGAACAAAAAATTGGTTACTATAGTCAATTTTTTATACAACTGGTCCTTCCGAAAAGTTGCCGGACTGATTTTTGGCGGCTCTGCCGGAAAACTCAGAGGGCTAGCGACAGCCAAAAAAAGCCTGTTGCACAGTGTAAAAGCAAGAAATTGCACTGAATAAAGAAAAGTTTTGTTTTCAGCAAGTGCATGTCGCCGATTTCCATCCAGCGACTTTCCGGAAAGACTAGCATCAAGTAGTGGCTTCTGCAGAAATCGTGGGAGGCCTACCGGATCGTTCGTCGTCTTAGGAAGGCGACGGCAATTTCTGTTTCTTCCGGCGATGATGCTCACTGCAGCAAACTCAACCAGACTGCCAACAATGAACGCCAAACACGTTTCGAACCAAAAAGAAATCGCCTTCGCATACGTTGCGGCCGGAAATTTTAGAGTAATTGCGAAATTTTGTATCGTAATGATGATAAGGCTGGAAATATTGCCAATTGATCCCAAATTTCCAAGAAATCCTCACCATGCGACTGCAAGAGTCACCCTTGCTGCTGCCGCGTTCGTAGCAAGCCAAAACCCAAGCCAAGAGACGATGACAGCTGTGGCCGAAGGGATGTAAAGCTATATAATATTAAGTTTTATCAGTCTGTCGGGAAAATAGTGCCGGGTCAGCGCAGCTAAGTCTGTCGGAAAAATAACGGCGGATCGTCGCATCAAAATGTCTCGCCTCATCGCTATAGCGCGCCAAATCTCCAGCTTCGGCAGTCGTCGCAATGCGATGATGGGCGATTCCGAGGCGCGACGATCCGCCGTTATTTTCCCGACAGACTGATGTTTCGCCTCGTCGAAAAAGGGGTGCAGTCGCGCACCTACTTTTCAGCTGCGGTTAGCCGTCGCAAAACGATGATGGGCGATTCCGAAGCCACTACTTTCCCGGCACACTGATAAAAAAACATGTGGGGGACCTGATCCAGTGGCAAAGAATGTGCCATTTTGCATCCGGGAAGCATCAAAAAATGTGGCAAAATGCTTTCCTCTCCAAGTGAAAAAACACCGTTTTGAAGGGCTCCCTCACAAAAAAAACGGGCGCGCTTTTGAAACCGGAGTTTTTTTCACTTGGAAATGGAGGTATTTTGCCACATTTTTTTTACTTCCCGGATGCAAAATGATAGGTTTTTTCCCACTGGATCGGGTCCGCCACTATATGGTCAGAACTCAAAGACTTTTTGATGGCGATGACACGCTTCATTGTTTTGAAGGTTCGCTTGACCTACCTGAGACAACAAGACAATCCATTCCCGTCTCAGGAGAATCTTGGCACGGAGGCACGAGTATTCGTCAGTATTAGTTTTTGCGCTGCAATCCTCAGCCACAACTTCTTCCAGATCAAAGTCGCGCAAGCTTTGTCGAAGGCCGGCCTTTTGTTGAAGTGCGTAATGTCCTTTCCATTCGTATTTTATGTCATCAGCGGTGTGGGCGTAGCTGGCCAGGTCAATGGGACAGGCGTGCCGATCAAATGGGTAGCTCTCCAACGACATTGGACACGACAAAACTAGTGACAATCGTACGCTATAAAGAACCCTCCCGTCCGGATGAATTCGAATCAAAACGTTGGGTTTGTCGACGGAATGCCTTCGGGCTTCTTTTTCGTTCTGAAAATACGTGTCGGGCATCCAAATTTGGTCTGTGGCTGGCTCTGCGGTTGGTAGGAGCAGGAATTTCGGCACTTCGGAGCCATCACTCGCCATATCTTTGTAGGCCAATCGGGGGTCCAGCCATTCCTCGCGGAGGGTTATTTGCCTGGAAATTGTGTCTGTAGAAGCTTAACAATGTAATGTAGAAAATTTATCTCCCGCTTTACAGAAAAAATTGGCTTGTACTGTGCAGAAAAAGTCAGGGTGCAAGCGACACCCCAAAAAAGCCTTTTTCACGGTGCAAAAAGCAAGAAATTGCACAGTGACAAGTAAAATTTTGTTTTCGCACAGTGCATGTCGCAAACATCACTTCTGCGACATGAAGTGTAATTTCAAAGGAGAAGATATTCTTAGAAGAGACGGTCAGAGAAAAAATTAATTTTTTGTTTCTTTTTGCGTGGAAACAGCTTTAAAATAAAATTCCTTTTGGCGCTAATCCGTTCGTAAAGTCGCTGGAGTGATTTGCGTGACATGCACTGTGGGAAAGCAAAATTTTTCGTTGCACTGTGCAATTTCTTGCTTTTTGCACTGTGAAATAGGCTTTTATGGGCTGTTGCACCCTGACTTTTCTCGCACAGTGCATGTTGCCAGAAGTGACGGCAGCGATTTTGCAAACGGACTATTGCGCTTTTTTAAAAGTGCGTAGACTTTTTTCTGCTTTTTTTCGCACCGTGCAGTGCAAGTTATCCTTTTCGAAATTTCGAAGCATTTTGCACTATGCAATTTTATTTCGTGCGCCCGAAATTCGCTTTTCTAAGTTGGCAAAACCGTGTGTCGCTGCGATATTGCAATGCACGGTGCGAAACATCAAATGCACCCCGCAAAAAGGGGTTTTTTGTGCATGGTGCAGCCCATGACAAAAAATCTACGCATTTCTGAGAAATCGTAATATAGTGATGGACCTGATCCATTGGCAAAAAACGTACTATTTTGCATTCGGGAAGTATCAAAAATGTGGCAAAATACCTCCATTTCCAAATGAAAGACTCCGATTTCATGTGAGGGAAACGAAGCTTTTTCACTTGGAGAGGGAAGCATTTTGCCACATTTTTTTGATACTTCCAAGGTGCAAACTGATACGTTTTTTGCCACTGGATCAGGTCCCCTACTCAAATAGTGCTCCCGGGAAACTTACGTGCTGTATTCCGAGTTCACTTCATCGATCTTTGAGATAGTTCTCAAGAAAATATTGACTGTCACGACGACCGGACCGTCCCCTGAAATACTCCGTTTCCTTGTGTGCAATTTTTCGCTCACCCGGCAAAGAAGAATTGGTCCCCTTTGGCCGAACCCGAAAATCATAGTCGTTGAAAAGCCGTTGGATTATTTCTTGCTCCTCCAACTTTGTATTGGGCTGCTGGGCCGTAGCGAGAAGGAAAATAAGTAACAGAGTAACAGTGGAATGGAGAAAAGACATATCGATTGAGAAGCTTGGAAAACAAAGAAAATGACGTGAAGTTTAAAGCATCAAAAGAGCAAAAAAATTGATTGGTGTTTGCAAAAAAAATCGCAGCGATAGCCAAGGTGAGTGGCTCTAATATCGTGCGAAACGCTTAGCATAATCTGTTGACACTTTTTTCGGCCTGATAAGCGGATTATAAGGGTTTCTTTTTTTTGTTTGAGGTCACATGGCCGTGTGATATATTCTATAATATTCAACTTTTTCATAATGTTTATTGCAGTGCGACGATGATATTTTGGCCGTATTTTGTCTGTATGGCCTGCAAGTTTTATATGCTTACTATTCCTTCAAATTCAAAGATCAACTTTTGCAGACACCGCCAAGATGTCGCTGTAATTCACAAGGGAAGTAACCTCATGTGAAGTACCCATATTTTCTTCAAACTTTGCACACATGTCGTACATGGGAGACATATCAACTCCTTGAAATTTGAACTCGCACTTTGCAGTTTCAGCCGAGATATTGAGCAATCTTTGCGGCCGAGAGAGCACGCGAAATGCGGAGAGCAGTCAAAGAGAGAACCCTTTTTTGGCGATATCTTTGTCAGTCTCGCGTGGAAAAAATTGATTTTTTGTGGAAACATTACTCTCCATAGTAGAAAACTTTACAAAATTTTTTATGCCAAAATTCGGAAAAAAAGTGGCCAATTTTTTCCAACTTAAAAACATACCGTTTTGCATCCGGGAAGCATTAAAAATGTGGCAAAATCCATCCCTCTCCAAATGGGAAAGGGGCGGCCTTTAAAACGAAGTTTTTTCACTTGGAAAGGGAAGCATTTTGCCACATTTTTGATGCTTCCCGGATGCAAAATGGTGCGTTTTTTGCCACTGGGTCAGGTCCGTCACTGTAGAAAGCGTAATTGCAAATTTTTGCCAATTTTTGATCAAAATCTTACCGTCACACTTGCAGTACTTTTCCAGCGTTCTTTTGAGCTTTCGATAAAAACTTTTCTAGTTTGTGCATGCCAAAAAATACCGTCAAAAAACGCTCTCTCTCTCTTGTTCCCACCTGTCTTTAATTAACAAGGCAATGTCACCAAATTTAACAAAGCTTTTGTCATCAACTTGCTGTGTCAGTGAAGTCAGAAAGTCATAATCATTTATAGTAATCCTATTACATCATATTTCCTGAGTTATAACCCGATTTTCCGGGTAGCGCGCTAATTAGGTTGTGCGATGTTTGTAGTTTTTTCGTCGGGTCCAAACACTTTCATTTCGAGAGTCATGATACAAGTTTATTATGGTAATAAAAGAGTAATACGATATGTCACGTTGGCAAGAGATTCAAAAAGAAAAACAAATTGAGTTTTCGTCACGGGTCGCTTTCCAGACGACTTGCGTAGAAGTACTTGAAGTAGTAGAATACTGTAAACAAAGGAATTAGAAATGTATATCGCGTGAACTACATACAATGGGGGACCTGATCCAATGGCAAAAACGTTCCATTTTGCATCCAGGAAGTATCAAAAAGGTGGCAAAATACCTCCAAGTGAAAAATTCCGATTTCAAAAGCACGCCCGCTCTTTCTGTGAGGGAGCCCTTCAAAACGAAGTTTTTTCATTTGGAGAGGGAAGCATTTTGCCACATTTTTGATACTTCCTGGATGCAAAATAATACGTTTTTTCCTCTGGATCAGTTCTGTCACTGTACAAAGGCCGTATAAACCACGGATGCTCTTCTCGTGTGGGTACGTACATATCTTATCAGCATGGTCTACCTATGCAGTCGTACACCAAGTATAAAAAGTTTTGGATCGCCGTTTGTATGAACACCGTCCAAATTCTGATTTTCGAAAAGTATTTTTGAAATAGTTGTCAATTTGGACTCAAAAAATCTTGTTGGTTTCTGTAAAGCGCAAGCTCAGCGTCCCGTATGTCTCAAAGAATTATGTTCTGGATTTTCATCGCAATACATATTTTTTATGCCTTGACCGGTGACCTGATATGTATCTGGTTGGGGACTTATAAAATCATCATGTGTTTCGAAAATGTGTCACGATGACACCTATTCACTATGTGCCAATGGTATAAAAAATTGCTGCATATGGCTAGGAGTACTCTCTAGTGTACCCATAAAAAAGTTCTGGCTCAAAACTTTTGCAAGGCGCAATTTTGATGACGAATTTTCTGGACTTTTTCTGATTTCTGGATTTTTTCTGCGGGCAGAAACTTTCCAATTCCACAGATTTTTTGACGTGCTCTAGTGAGTACTAGAAGACATATACAGCCATTTTTTATACCACTCACACATTTTAAACCGGTGTCATCGTGACATATTTTCTGGACACACCAAGATATACTATATGACTGCCGCTGGCAACAACTTACTCAAAAACGATATAAACAACGCGGGGAACATGTATCGGGACACAATGTCCACACGCTTCGACAGATCGTCGCCCAGCATCTTCCTCAACTTGGTCCTCAACGGCATCTGGCTGTTCAGGACGCTCAAGTCCAGCCGCATCGAGCGCCGATGTTGCCTTAACGGATGAACATCGTTGTTGTTCAATCCGCTGAGATTCATGTTTATCGTGTCGTGCATCATGTTCATATGGGCGTTCGGCACAATCGACGGCGGACACAGGCAATCGGGGCCCATCAGGGACGGGAGTTGCGCCGCCATCTGCTGCAGCCCTCCCAACTTTTTGCCGCGCTCCCGGCGCGTAAACTCCTTCCTACCGTAGTAGTTGACCAACGCGTACTCGAGCAGGGCCGAGAAGATGAATCCTGGAAAGAAAAAAGGGTTTTGCGAAAAGCCACGTAAAAGGAATTATGGCACATCCTCGGGATGAGTAATTTGCGCTAAGCCAAATTCGCTTCGGCGGATTTGACGGCTGACTCATGAAACGAGTTTTTCCCCGCACGCAAGCCGCTTACACAACTTTGATGGCAAAAATAAACGAATGGATAAGCAACAGGATCAACCAAAGACCACTTCAGGTGGTTGTTGTTGGGTCTTGGAGGCTGTTAAAGTTCATGTATGTACATGTCGCGCCAAATGCCCGCAACGTAGTGCAAAGAAAGCAAAACTTGTCTGAAAATGTTTTTTCGAAATCATGAAAAGTGCAGAGTTGCCGAAAATTCCGAGGACTTTCCGCGCCGAGTACAAGTGTTTCCGGAAAGTCGCCGGTCTGACAAGGAAGTACCTTTATTGGGGCTCCTACTTTTTGACGCGACATATCTCAAAAAATCAGAAAAAATGTGCTGATCAAGGATATATAAATCTTAGCTGCCCATTTTAGGTTTTTAGGGGTGAAAACTCAATCGGAAGTTGACTTAAAGTCCTGTATGAACCCCTTTTTCTCTTAATTTTTCACAGGTTTACAATTTTTATTTTGGCTTAAAATGGTGTTTATTGAGTTTCTAAGACGTAATAAGTCAGCCTTGGCCCAAAAATTTATTTTTTCGACCTTCAACTTCAAAAAAAGTTGATTCAGCCCAAAAGGAAAATCGAACCCGTGCGGCGTCCTCCCTCTTGATTCCCAGACTACGGCACTAACCACTCGGTCACACCGCACTCTTCCTAAGGAAGAGAACGACTGCGCTTTTTATCGTTTCGAATGCCTGCGCCTTTTGTAGGGAAATTAAGCAAGTTTTTGGGCATTTTCACCCCTAAAAACCCAAAATGGGCAGCTAAATTTTATATATCCTTGATCAGCGCATTTTTTCTGATTTTTTGAGGTATGTCCCGTCAAAAAGTAGGAGGCCCCATAAAAGCACTTTCCTTGTGAAATCGGCGACACGCACTGTGCGAAAATAAAACTTTTCTTTGCGATGTGAAATTTCTTCCTTTTTGCACCGCAAGGACTTTTTTCGGCTGTCGTTTCCACATTTTTCGCACAGTGCAAACGCCAAAAATCAGTCCGGCGGCTTCCCGAAAGGACTAGTAGTAAAGGAATATACAGTGGCCGATCTGATCCAGTGGCAAAAAACGTACCATTTCGTGTCCGGGAAGTATCAAAAAATGTGGCAAACTACCTCCCTCTCCAAGTGAAAAAACTGCGATTTCATTTTTTTGGTTGGAGAGGGAGGTATTTTGCTGCATTTTGGATACTTCCCGGATGCAAAATGATACGTTTTTTCCGCTGGATCAGGTCCGTCACTGTACCACATACTCGGGCAATAAATTATATATCCTAAACGGAAGTGGGTAAACTGGTGCTATTATAGTTTGTTTGCAAAGTCGCTGAAGTTTTTGGCGCTTGCTATGCAGAAAAAATCAAGGTGCGGGCGACAGCCCAAAACAGCCTATTGCACGGTGCAAAAAGCGAGAAATTGCACTGTGCGAAGCGAACTCTTGTTTCCGCACAGTACGCCGATAAATTTCGGTAGTCATGGCGATAACCTTCCCCTTTACTGTTATTTTTGCCATCTTCATTTTCGCCCCAGCATGGCCTCAGAAATCGTACGGTATTCGTGCGTCATAAAACCGCATCTTTGTATTCCTCTTCATCGGATTAGGATTACTACAAATGCCACAGGAATTGATCCATTCTCACGTACACATAAACGCTACATGTGGGGGGTTTGGCGGCAAGACAAAGCCGTTGGAATGACCTAAACCCCCATTCAGAGGGCCCCCATAAACGAAACCCTTGAGGATTAGCGGGGATAACAATAGATCATGGAGAGATTTCGAAGGACAATGGCTGAACGGGTTTGTCACATACCTAGACAGATTCCAATCCAAACATCGACGGCTTTGATGTACGAGACTGGCGGCAATTTGGAGTTGATACCGGAGGCTTGCGTGGTCATCGTGAGGAGACTGAAAAACTTACAGTAGAATTAGATAAGGACACAACTTTTTGGGGATCTTTAGGAGTGCTTTCACAGAGCTTTCACTCCAAGTATTACAACGCTCAAATTTTGATCAAAACTTGGCACAAATTTTAGAACAATTCCCAAATTTTTTGATCAAAACTTGGTATAAATTTAGAATAAGTTTTCTACAATATATGCGTGAATCCTAGCTCGCGCTTCGCAGAAGCAACCGAGATTTCGTAAGACCAAAAGTTGGGAAAAATTCACCATTTTTTCGCGAATTTTGACATAAAAAGTTTCATGCCTATTTCTGCCGTATAAGGTAATTTTTCAACAAAAAATCAATCTTTTCTCCGCGGCACCAGCGAAGTTATGGCCAAAAAAGTTTTTTCTTTCTGTATGTCCACCCCACGCATCTCGCTTAATCTCTCGGTGGCGTCTGCAAAGCGTGAGCTAATTCAAATCACAGTGGCTCTTTTACTAACGAAGGGAAGTACAGCAAGTGCGATGCTCAAATTTTGATCAAAACTTGGCATAAATTTAGAATAATTGTTTCTAAAAAAATGCGAAAATCCCAGCTCGCGTTTTGCAGAAACAACCGAGATTTTTAGATCGAAAGTTGGCGAAAATCTGACACTTTTTGCCGAATTTCGGCACGAAAAATTTCATGCCTATTTCTACCGTAGAGGGAAATGTTTCCACAAAAAATCATTTTTTCCCGCGCGAAACTTGCGAAGCTATGGCTAAAAAAGTGTCTTGATCGCTCTCCATGTTTAGTGTGCTCTCTCGGCGGCAAAGATCGTTCAAAATCTCAGCGGCGTCTGCAAAGAGCGAGCTAAAGCTTTCAGGAATTGAAATTTAAAAACCAAATTAGTCTATGCCCGAAGTGCGTGCAAAATTTAAAGAAAATATGAGCTTCGCACTTGGGGTACTTCCCTTGTAAAACCTTCAATTTAATAGATCACTGAATTGACCACTACTTTTCAGCCGCTTCGAACGACAGACTTACGTTGTAACACCCAGAGACACTCGCGCCGGCACAGCATCCTTGTCCAACCAAAAGCTGACCCATGAAACGACCACCAACATGATGCAGGGAATGTAGAGTTGAATGAGGTAGTAACTAAACTCATATGTAAGCAATCATCGCCATGACTTGCCTGTATTCCCTTCGGAGGATTAATTTAACTCGTGCGCAACTGTATTCACCTAAATTCGATGGTTAAAGTTGAAATTTCTTTTGGGATTTCAAGTAAATTCTAATAATATATAATATTTATCGACTAGATAATTTGAAATTCTTTTTGGTATAGTGTCCTATGAAATCTACAGCTCTTCTGAGCCCTTCTACCTACATGCTTTTCCTTTCCGAGTACCCTTTTCTGGCATTTCCAATACGACAACTTACGTTGTTACAATCGGCACACTGGTATCATCACAAATTGTAAACATATACTTTATATCGTTATATACATATATTATAATTAGCAGCTCGTCATGAACAATGTTAAGCGCAAACAAACCCGGTTTTTGAACATTCGGATATTGTAAAACACGCTACACAACTGGCATGTATATTTTACTAACAAAGGAAGTCACTTATGCTACGGATCGATTTTTAAAAACGACTGTCGCAGAAATGGAGAGGACATAATGGAGATGTCGAATCTGGTGACCAGTAACTTTACCGGCTTTGTTCAGCGTTGATAATCGACGAATATGTTTGGCAAGAAAAAATTGCCCAAAAAAGTTCTCATTTTGGCCTCAAACCGGCCTTGAGACATCAACATCGTCCTTACCGGAATTTTGTATAACAGAGTCCGTGGAGAGTACCCCTTCACTCAAAAGTTCGGACAATTTTCGCACAATACGAAAGTTTGGGTTTTGACTTATCCCCGACACCGCGAGCGCAATTTCGGGTTTTTTGCGAGCAAACGTTTCTGATGCAAAAAACAGGTATGTTGGGTTCTCACCCAAGTTCCCAGGAAATTTGAATAAACCAGGAAGTATAAATACAACAGACAATCCCAATATCTTTTAATTCTGTCTCCGGATTTCGGTTGTTTGTGTGTGTGTCTCATCTCGTCTCAATAAACCCTATACTCTTCTTACTTTGGATTGGTGACCACCTCCCCCCTTCTCCCAGTGCCTCTCGTCGTTATATGGGGGCTGAGCCGGGTAATTGTCAATGCGAAAAACCAGGGAAAGATATGCAATGCTAACTGCAGGTCTCCGCCGAGCCTTCGCGCAGCGTCCGCCGACCATCCAACGGTTTTGCCAGGCCTCGCAGGCACTTTCTACAACCTTTTTTTGGGTAGTTGTTGGTCTTTTCAATGTGTAATAGAGGTTGTTTTCAAAACAGCCACTTTTTTGATGTTTGCTGATTTTTTTAGTGTCAAATTAACATTGATACTTTCTGACACAAATTTCAGATATCTTAATGTGTAATTTCCGGCTTTTGTGTCCACTATCAATCTGTGGGGAAAATAATGAGCGCAGTTTCGTCATCGCCGCCGAGAAAATGAATTGTGTTGCGGCAAAATCAAACCGCTTTTGAGTTCAGCGACGCGATTATCGCAGCGACGTTGTAGTCATTATTTTCCCGACAAACTGATTGACTGATAAAAAAGGCAAAAAATGCCAGTTTTTTTTTGTTTTCTTTCAGCGGATCATAACCAAATCAACAACGTCTGAAGTCGGCCAAGCTGCTGATTCTTCAGCCTTCACCTCAAGGACATGACATACTATATTATACATCAGATACATATAGTATTATCAAACAAATTGCGGTTTCAAACAAAAAAGCCAAGCAAATCCTCGCACCTAACGTACTGTTTACTGTATGTACAGAGCATTAACACATACAAATAACAACCCACGGAGACACGAAGCTCGGGCATTTCGGAGGTAAGGGAACTCAAATCGTTTGTAAAACACACAAAGAAGAAACACCGGACCTTGTAAGATAATACAAAAAATGCAAAGTGAATATTGAGCCACAAGTAGTCGGGGGATTTTGCTCACATATTCCGGAAGCCAAATCCACAATTGAGCAGTTACATCAGGTAGACAGTCCAATATAACACTGCAAATGGCAAGGCAAGGGTAAGCAGGTTTATAGCGCGAGACTTACCGTTAAAGCAGGCATAACCGATGGGAAAGACCTGAAAAGAAGTGGTCGGTTATATCGGAAATATGTTGGTGGAAATTTTAACCCATACGTTGCAATCCCATGTCATATACTCATGGGTTTTTTGGTGGAAAATGTAAAATGAGGAGGGAATTTTGACAAGGGAAGTACCCCAAGTGCGACGCTCAGATCTCCTTCAAATTTGGCACACATTTCGGTCATAGACTAAGTATCAATTCCTCAACGTTTTAGCCCGCGCTTTGCAGCCGAAGCCGAGATATTCAACGATCTTTGTGGCCGAGAGAGCACCCGAAATGTGGCTCGGTCAGAGAGAAAAACACTTTTTGGCTATATCTTTGCTAGCTTGGTGCGGAAAAAATGATTTTTTGTGGAAACCTTACCCTCTATGGTAGAAATAGTGATGCAACTTTTCGTGCCGATATTCGACAAAAAGTCTCAAATTTTCCTCGATCTTCGACCTGAAAATTTCGGTGGTTTCTGCAAAACGCGAGCTCGGATTCTAGCACATATTTCTAAAAAAATTATTCTAAATTTGTGCCAAGTTTTATCAAAATCTGGGCGTCGCACTTGGCGAGAATTCCCTCGTAAGTGCCAAAAATCGTTGGGACAAAAACGCTTTTTTCTCTAAAACTAATGTCCATGGACTTTATGAAAATGCTATTGGCCCAAAATAGCCTATGCAGACAAATTTGGAACAACCTCCAAACGTCGTATCTCCGGCAATTCCCTTATAAAATACAGTGGGGGACCTGACCCAGTGGCAAAAAACGTACCATTTTGCATTCAGGAAGCATAAAAAAATGTGGCAAAATACCTCCGTCTCCAAGTGAAAAATATCAGATTTCAAAAACGCGCCCGATCTTTTTGTGAGGAAGCACTTCAAAACGGAGTTTTTTTACTTTGAGAGGGAGGCATTTTGCCACATTTTTGATGCATCCCGGATGCAAAATGGTACGTCTTTTGCCACTGGATCAGATCCCCCACTGTATGTATACACACGACTTACCAATCTGGAAACCACGTCGATCCGCTTCGACCGCTCCTTGTACCGACGCACAAAGATCCGACAGCAGCACGTGTAGAAGCGTGTGAAATAGCCGGCACTCGACGGGTTAGCATAGTTGATGACCATGTTATGGCCATACGTTGTTTGGCCGTCGGTCGTGTCGCCCGACCGATACAGCGGCTCGTACATGCCGCCGTTGCCGCGGAACTCGGCCTTCGGCTGAAACTGCGAGTTCTCCACGAGCTGCGGCTGCTGCCGGAAGCGGGGCATCCGCTGCTGGCCGCTGATGTCCTTGCGGGCGGCGTAGTTGACCAGGGCGAACTAGAAAATACGACAAAGTCAATCTTTTTTGCGTCCCGACTTTTCGGGTCGACGACAGTTCGGGTCAATACCAAATTGATCGGTACGAGGTGTAGGGCAGATGGATACTCAAAAAAAGGTTGTAAGAAATGCCTACGAGGTCTAGAAAAGAAGTTGGATGCTCGGCGAAGGCTCGGCGGAGCCTCGCCGGAGCCTCGGCGGAGCCTCGGCGGAGAAGACTGGAAATATGTCCAGTTTTTCTTTTTTTAGCTATTAACAACATTATTTTTCTGTACCCTGCGTTACTGCATCCTATAAAAAACCCAAATTTGCGGCAAAAAACGAATACCCGAAACTTTTATCTATATATTTTTGATGTGAGTATATGTAAAATAAATACCTCAAAATGTGTCATAAGCCATCCTAGGACTCGATCAATCTTCTTATCTCTACTAACTAAGCCTTTTCCTAGCCTCGCCTATGCATACAACACCTGGCCGTCGCAATTCATAGTATCGTTGACCCGAACTGTCGCTGCTCCGAAAATTCGTAGAGCCATGTTATTTTACGGAAAGACATACCTCCAATAAAGCGCCGAAAATGAACGCCATACAAACACCGATCCACACATCCACGGCCTTGGTGTAGGAGACTGGAGGCAGTTTGGCGTTGATACCCGAACTTTGCGTGGTCATGGTTAGGAGACTAAAAACGAATGATTACGGACGTATTTCCGTTATGTAATTTGTTGGAGCCGGGCTTTAGACTGATTGGAAATTTTAGGGCCGGCCCCCTCAAAAAAATGTTTTTTTTTGTGTATTGAAACGAAAAATTGGGATGCCAATTTTGGGTTCTTGGCATTGTGCAACAAGACTTATTTGTGGCTCTATAAAGACCAAAAAAAAATATTTTTGCTGTTCGAAATGTTTCTGGCAGCGATAAAACGCCCTTAAACGAGCCAAGAACACAATGCCAAAGAATTGCCAAAATGGCGGAAAAATTGAAATTAAAACTTCTTCAAACTCTGGTGAGCTTTGGCTTCAAAATTTTCATGCCTATTTCTACTGTAGAGAGTAATGTTACCACAAAAAAATAATTTTTCCCCGCGATGGCAAAGATATAGCCAAAAAAAATGATTTCTCTCTGACCGCTCTCCGCCTTTCGCGTGCTCTCTCGCCCACAAAGATCGCTAAAAATCTCGACTGCGCTAGTAAAGCGCAAGCTAAAACTTTCAGGAATTGATACTTGGTCTATGCCCAAGATGTCTGCAAAATTTAAAGAAAATATGTCGCGTCGCACTTGAGCAATTTTTAAAGATTTCCCTGTAAATCTTTTGAAATACCATCTAAAAATTAATCCCAATAAGTTCCCCATTCAACGGCCAAAAAATCCGTCAAAGTTGGCGGAACTTACGTTGTCACTCCCAACGTGACTCTGGCCGGCACAGAGTCTTTGTCCAGCCAAAAGCTGACCCACGACACGATGACCAACATGCAGGATGGTATGTACAACTAAAATCAAATAAATTTTAAGATCAATACTGCTTGCTATGGAACGTACCTGCAGCAGGTAGTACGAGAACTCTCTTCGCAGGATCATTTTGGTCCGCAGACAAGAATATTCACCTAAATTTGCAAAAGCCGTCACTTCAACGCACTCAAAGCGAGTTAATTTTGTTAGGACGGAGGTAAATGGGGCAACAAAGTAATAATAATATTGGTGATTATGGTCAGGGCTTTTGAAAAAATAATTTTTCAGGCCTAAAAAAATTTTTTGAGAAAATCGACCGGTCGTTTTTTTGACTTCATTTTTATCGACCGGTCGATTTTTCAAGCCTTGTTTAAAAAAAACAAAATCGACCGGTCGATTTTTTGACTTGGTTTTAACCGACCGGTCGATTTTTTGCGCTTTTTAAAAAAAAACAAAATCGACCGGTCGATTTTTCGACTTAATTTTTATCGACCGGTCGATATTACTTGAATTTTTTGAACAACAAAATCGACCGGTCGATTTTTCAACTTGATTTTTATCGACCGGTCGATTTTCTGAAATAAAAAAAAATTTTTTTTTGACTCAAAAGTTTCAAAAGCCCCGAGAATAATCTCAAATTGCCTCCACAAATGTTACAGTAAGCTTAAAGCAACATTTACACACCAAAAATTGCAAAAGCAAAAGCACATTTACACTGCAAAAATTGCAAGCGATACATTGAGGTTATTATGCCAAATACTCGGAAGAAGTTCTCCTTAGCCTTCAGAAAGGCGACTACGATACCAAAACTAGTTGTAACTACCTACAAAACTGTGTTTCACCATGTGTTACGGTTGAATAAGTGCGCTTACTAATTACAATACGATGCCGGAGGCTACAAGTGCTTACTATAGAGTGTATGTGCTAGAGTGAATTAATGAAAATGTTTGTGTTCTGTGATGACTACAATATTGTGTTTATGGCACTTTATTGTACTTTATTTTTGATTTTTTGAACTTTTTTAGAGGTCCGGAAATTGCACAGTGCAAAAACTTTTTTTTTGAGATTGCACAGTGCAAAATTTTTTTTTATCAAAATTGCAGTAGTGCAAAAAAAATATTTTTTAAATTGCACAGTGCAAAAATTTTTTTTTGTAAAATTGCACAGTGCAGAAATTTTTTGGGTAAAATTGCACAGTGCAAAAACAATTTTTTTATTTGCACAGTGCAAATTTTTTTTTTGTAAAATCGCACAGTGCAAAAACAATTTTTTTATTTGCACAGTGCAAAAAATTTTTTTTTGTAAAATCGCACAGTGCAATAATTTTTTTCTAAAATTGCACAGTGCAGTAAATTTCTTATTAAAATTGCCCAGTGCAAAATTTATTTTGTAAAATTGCACAGTGCAAATTTTTTTTTATCAAAATTGCACAGTGCAAAAACAATTTTTTATTTGCACAGTGCAAAAATTTTTTTTTCATCAAGATTGCACAGTGCAAAAACAATTTTTATTTGCACAGTGCAAAACTTTTTTTTATCAAAATTGCAGAGTGCAATTCAAAAAAAAACTTTTTTTTTTGAAAAATTAGTACTGTAAAGTGTCTAAACATGTGCCATAACCATTGAAAAAATCTTAATTTTTTTTCACTACCTATAAAATCTCCGTGAAAAAAACTTGCCCGTATTCGTTTTGCTCGTGCAATAATCCGTGAGCACCTCCTGTAGCTCGAAGCTGGGCAAGCTCTGGCGGAGCCCGTCCTTTTGTTGGATGGGATTGCTCGACTTCCACTCGTATTTGATGTCGTCCGTGGTGTAGGCGTAGCTGGCCAGGTCGATCAGACAGGTCTGATGGTCCAGCGGGTAGTACTCCAGCGACATGGGACAGGAGAGAACGAGCGACAGTCGAACGCTATACAAGATTTTTCCATCCGGATGGATTCGAATCAGGACGTTCGGCTTGTCGATCAAATGTCGACGGGCCTCTTTTTCGTTCTGGAAAAAGGTGTCGGGCATCCAGACCTGCCGCGACAGGTCCGCCGAGTCCGACGTGGCCAGCACGACGAACGGCGGGACTTGGGTTTCGTCGTCGGCGAAACGCTTGTACGCCAGACGCGGGTCCCACCATTCTTCGCGGAATGTGAATTGCCTGAAAAAAAGTTGATTTTTCGAGCGGATAATCTAATCTCTAAAGGACTAACAAGTCAATTTTTGGTCAAAAATAAAACTTGACAGAGCAAAACTCTTCTATAACAATTTTATTCTTTGGTCCGTTCCAGTTATTTTTAGACCGCTTGGTCCGGGTCCAGTGGCAAAAAACGTGCCGTTTTGCATCCGGGAAGTATCAAAAATGTGGCAAAATGCCTCCCCTTCCATCTAAAAAACTCCGTTTTGAAGGGTTTTTTTAAATAACAGTAGTTTTACATACCAAGGGTTAAAATAAGTAAACCAAAGATATGGAAAGTCCAATAAAAACAGATTTTGAAGCCAGAAGAGTCTGAAATATGGCCTGCAGTGACAGAACTGATCCATTGGCAAAAACGTACCATTTTGCATCCAGGAAGTAGCAAAAAATGTGGCAGAAGGTCTCCCCTTCCAACTAAAAAAGCTCGTTTTGAAGCGCTCCCACAAAAGAATAACGGGCGCGTTTTTCAAGTCGGAGTTTTTCAGCTAGAAGAGGGAGATATTTTGCCACATTTTTTGATACTTCCCGGATGCAAAATGGTATGTTTTTTCCCACTGGATCAGGTCCGCCACTGTACATAGAGGACTAAAAAGTGAGTCTTGGGTCAAAAATAACACTTGATAGAGAAAGACCCTTCAATAACAAATTTATTTTTTGGTCTGTTCCAGTTGTTTTCATACCTCTTGGACATGATCCAGTGACAAAAATCTCCCTTTCCAACTGAAAAACTCCGTTTTGAAGGGCTCCCTCACAAAAAAGAGCGGGCGCGCTTTTGAAATAGGAGTCTTTCACGTGGAAATGGAGGTATTTTGCCACATTTTTGATACTTCCGGGATGCAAAATGGTATGTTTTTTGCCACTGGATCATGTTCGCCACTGTACGTAGAGGACAAACAGGTCAATCTTATGCTCAAAATAAAACTTAATAGAGGAAAAACCCTTCTTTAACAAATTTATTTTTAGTCCGCGCCAGTTATTTTTATACGACTTTGACTGTACAGCGATGGACCTCATCCATTGGCAAGTATCATTTTGCATCCGTGAAGTATCAAAAAATGTGGCAAAATGCCTCCCCTTCCAGCTAAAAAAACTTCGTTTTTAAAGGCTCCCTCACAAAAAGAACGAGCGCGCTTTTGAAATCGGAGTTTCTGCACTTGGAAATGGAGGTATTTTGCCAATTTTTTTATACTTCCTGGATGCAAAATGATACGTTTTTTGCCGCTGGATTAGGTCCGCCACTATAGTAATCAAAAAAATCACTTGTGAGGCTATGGTATATCCCAAAAGAATCGACTTACGCGCTGTATTCCATATTGACATCATCAATTTTTGATATGCTCCTCAAATAAATATTCACTGACACAACGACAGGACCGCCAGTATCTACAAAAATTGATTGTAAAATTGTAAAATAGCATCTAATCGCGTCAAAAAATACCGTTTTTTTGTGTATTCTTACCAGGCCAAGAATCGTTGGCGCCCCGCGGCCGGACCCGCCAGTCGTAATCCCTGAGAACCCGTTGAATAATATCCTGCTCCTTTAGCTTCTTCTTCGCCTTCTGCCCGAACGTCACCACGAACCAGGTGCAGAGCAGGAACGCGACGGACACCGCAAGATTCATGGCGTAGCCTAAAATTAACAGGGGAAGTGCTCCAAGTGCGACGCTCAGATTTTCTTTAAATTTTGCACACACGTCGGGTATGGACTAAATATCTATTCCTGAAAGTTTTAGCTCGCGCTTTGCGGGCGCCGTCAAGATATCGAACGATTTTTGCCGCCGAGAGGGCGCGCTAAACGTGGAGAGCGGTCAGAGAGAAAAACGCTTTTTGGCCATAACTTTGGCAGTCTCGTGTGGAAAAATTTGATTTTTTGTAGAAACATTTTCCTTTACGATTGAAATAGGCATGAAACTTTTCGAGCCGAAATTCGGTAAAAGTCCTAAATTTTGGCCGACTTTTGATCTAAAAATCTCGGTTGTTTCTGCAAAGCGCGAGCTAGAATTCTCGTATATATCTTAGAAAAAATCATTCTAAACTAGTGCCAAGTTTCATCAAAACCTGAGCGTCGCACTTGGAGTACCTCTCCTGTAGGCAAAATTGCAAAAAAAGTTACATTTCTACTGTCAATATTTTTTGTCTGGAAAACAAAAGAAGGATGGACGAATTTTGATGAAACTGGACGCAAATTTAGAGTCTTTTACCGAGTTGTGTCTAATAATTATACTTTACAATACGAGCTACAACCGAGACTTGTTTTTCAAACGTCCGTGAAACATTCTTTGTAATGTCGGCATAAACAACTTTAGCAAAATTCGGTATATAGCATTTTACTAAAGTGCCTGGAGATTTGGTCCCAGCAACTCACTTTTCCACTGAGATCAAGTGTAACAACACGAGGAGTGGTACCGCAGTTTGTATGAAGGGCTGTGGCCAATACGACGTCTTGAAAATCACTTTGGATCAGCGCCTTTGAATCCGAATCCAGGATAAACTACCATGTCGTCAAAGTCGAAAGGGGAAAAATATTGAGGAATTTCTGTGATTTTTTTGCAATGTGTGTGGCAGCGAGATCTGGATTTTACCTGGAATGGAAGCTTTGTAAAAATCAAGGGATGAAATGTAAAATACGACATCATAACTTGTGTCTATGTATTCCACGGATCAATGGCCAAAAAAGCGATAAAAACGTCGCGTATAAAAAAAAATTATAAAAAAAAGACAACGAGGGATTATAAGGAGCCAAATAAAAACGATGATAAACATTTTTAAAACTCCGTATACCAAAAAGTTTCTATAACAAACTTATTTTTTTTCCTTTTGTTCCACAGAGTTTAACTTTGCTTGTTGCACAGTGCGAAAATTTCCAAACTTTTTGTATTGCACAGTGCAAACAAAATTTTCTTCTGCACCGTGCGGTAATGGGGAAAACAAAATTAAAAAAACATTTGGGACGATAAATAAAGCTGTTTCAGTCTATTTCGTGCGTTTTTGTACTAAAAAATACCTTTGCACTGTGCAGTAAAATCGTATTTCCATTCAGCACCGTGCAGTCAAAATATTTCTCTGCAGAGTGCAAAGGGGCTGAAAATAAAGTTTGAAAGGGTATGCACAACGTATACTGGTATGTCGTTGTCATTTTATGTCATTTTCGACCCAAAAAATTGATTGCACTGTGCAAAAACACCTAATTTTTAATTCCGCACTGTGCAGACAGACCAGATCAAACTGCACAGTGCAAAAGCTCAACAAACCTTCATTTGGCGGTTCAGCCATTGAAACATCATGGCAAAAAATTTCAGCTGACATCATGGCAACAAATTTCAAAAAAACGTATCAATTACAAGCGATCATAGGAAAAATTCGAAAACCCAAAAAATAAGCCTCCTAGGCCAAGAAAAACAAGCGCTTTCGATTTCGAATTCTTTTCGAAAAACGTCTGCAACACATGCGAATTGTGGAAGTGATGGAAAAGTGCGGTGAAAGTCGTCAAAGACAAATGTTTTTCTAACTCCCGTCCCCGTCAAAGACCACTCTTCGCCTATCGAATATGATAGATGGGGTTAATAAGGAAGGCCCGGAAGTCGGCCAAATTGGCTTTTTGGAAGACATTCGGGAAAGTGCACTGTGCAAAAAATGGGGATTGCACTGTGCAAAGAAGTGAAAAATTGAATTGCTTTAAAAAAGTGAATTGCACAGTGCAAGAAAAGTAGATTGCACCGTGCAAAAAAGTGGATGGCACTTTGCGGAAAAAAGGTGGGCTGCACTGTGCAAAAAAATTTGGATCGCACATTGCCAAGGGAAAATATTTTTTTTGAAATTTTTTTAGCACAGTGCAGCAAAAATTCAAAACCCATTGTTTGGCACCGTGCAAAAAAATGGACCGTACGGTGCAAAAAAAGTGGTTTGCACCGTGCAAAAAATTAGATTGCACTGTGCGAAAAAATTTGGACCGCACAGTGCCAAGGGAAAATATATTTTCTTTGAAATTTTTTTTGCACAGTGCAGTAAAAATTCAAAAAAAAAAATGGACTGCACTGTGCAAAAAAACGATGAATTGCACTGTGCAAAAAAGTGGATTGCACCGTGCGAAAAAAATTAGATTGCACAGTGCGCAAAAGTGGATGGCACTGTGCAAAAAAGTGAAAAATTGAATTGCTTTAAAAAAGTGAATTGCACAGTGCAAGAAAAGTGGATTGCACCGTGCAAAAAGACGGATGGCACTGTGTGGAAAAAAGGTGGGCTGCACCGTGCAAAAAACCCATTGTATGCACTGTGAAAAACAAAAGTGGTTTGCACCGTGCAAAAAATTAGATTGCACTGTGCGAAAAAGTTTGGATCGCACAGTGCCAACGGAAAATATATTTTCTTTGAAATTTTTTCTGCACAGTGCGGTAAAAATTCAAAAAAAATGGACTGCACTGTGCAAAAAAAAAGATGAATTGCACTGTGCAAAAAAGTGGATTGCACAGTGCGAAAAAAAATAGATTGCACTGTGCAAAAAAGCAAAAAAGTGGATTGCACCGTGCAAAAGCCCCATTGGTTGCACAGTGCGGAAAAAATTGGATTGCACCGTGCAAAAAAATTGGGTCGCACTGTGCCCAGGGAAAATATATTTTTTTGGAAAAAATTTTTTATAGTGCAGTAAAAATTCAAAAAAAATGGACTGCACTGTGCAAAAAAGGGGATTGCACTGTGCAAAAAAATTATGGATTGCACTGTGCAAAAAAAGTGAATTGCACAGTGCGGAAAAAATTAGATCGCACGGTGTAAAAAAGTGGATTGCACTGTGCAAAAAATTAGATTGCACAGTGCGGAAAAAATTGGATTGCACCGTGCAAAAAAATTGGATCGCACTGTGCCCAGGGAAAATATATTTTTTGGAAAAAATTTTTTTTGCACTGTGCGGCGAAAATGAAAAGAAAACGATGCATTGCACTGTGCAAAAAAAGTGGATTGCACCGTGCGGAGGGAAAATATTTTTTTTTTCAAAAATATTTTTTTCACAGTGCGGTCAAAAAATAAAAATGTGTGCACAGTGCAACGAAAATTCAATTTGTCGCACTGTGCGTTCAAAAATCGAAAATCGACCACCGTCAACGGCGTGTGGATGTGGCGTAAAAAACGGTGGGCTGTTCGAGAAAAGCAATTAAAAGTGGGATTTGGCCGGAATGGAATGGGGCAAAGATTAAAAAAAATCTCTGACAATTCAAAAAGCAAAAAAAAAATAAAAAAAAATTACGTAATGCATTTGAGTTCCCATTAATTTCCGAACGCATTTAGTGTTGATTAATCGAAAATCGGAAACGGATCAAGCCCTGAGGGCAGCTAGACGTGAGCTAAAGACTTGTTGATTTGTCACTCCGAGTTTAAAAGAGGGAATTTTTTGATTTCCCCCAGTCAAATCGATTGTTTTTCCGCTTGTTTTGGCCGTTTTTTCGGTGCCAAAAGTCTTGGAATTCCGAAAAAAATGAAAATTTTGGTATTTTCTATCGTTTTCTTGGCCGTTTTGGCCATTGCCGATGATTCTTCGGAAGAAAGAGACCGCTCAATCAGCTCACGGACTGGATCGGTCGCCTCCCGAAAGAATAGTGCGGATTTTGATCGGAAAAGTGTCAGCTCGGATTCCAGCTTCTTTTCGAGGAAGTCCAGCAAAAGCTCGGTGGATTCGGACGCTACGGTGACTGGTGGGTTGAGTTTTTAGACTTTATCGACCGGATTACAATATGCCTACGTTACAGTAGTCTGAGAGACTTAATTTTCACAAAAATGAATTCCCAATGGTCGAAAACGTATACAAGCAAAACTTTGGGTGATTTGCTCTTTCTATGACGTCACCAGGTCGAAAATTCCAAAAAAGACAAATTTAAGCAAATTTATGCCTTCCGGGCAGAATTGAGAAAAACTGTTGTTCGCTTTTCCTTTGCGCATGTCGACGGTCATTTTTATGGAAAAAACTCAAAATCCATTTTTTCCTATGTCCCGGGTCCATTACGGGCTGATGCAGCGAGCCAAAAATCGTCTTTTAAAGTGCTAAACTGACCCTTATAATCGAAATATTTAGTTGGTAAAATACGCGAGTTGAAGTGCATTGCGGAGAATTTTAGCTAGCGATTTTTAGCAATATACGGTTGAAATATCAAAAAAATTTTTGAAATAGAGAAAAATCGATTAATTAATTGGAGTTTCTACATAAAATTTTCATAGTAATTCGGAACGTATTTTACAAAAATATAATATATTACTTACAGGGGAAGTACTCCAAGTGCGACGTTCAGATTTTGATGAAACTTGGCACAAATTTTGAATATTTTTTTCTAAAATATATGCGAAAATCCTAGCTCGCGCTTTGCAGAAACAACCGAGATTTTTAGCTCAAAAGTCGGCGAAAATTTAGGACTTTTTGCCGAATTTCGGCACGAAAAGATTCATGCCTATTTCTACCGTAAAGGATAGTGTTTCTACAAAAAATCAAATTTTTCCGCACAAAACTGCCAAAGTTATGGCCAAAAAGCGTTTTTCTCTCCGACCGCTCTCCACGTTTACCTTGGCGGCAAAAATCGTTCGATATCTCGGCGGCGCCCGCAAAGCGCGAGCTAAAACTTTCAGGAATTGATATTTAGTCTATATCCGACGTGTGTGCAAAATTTTAAGAAAATCTGAGCGTCGCACTTGGAGTACTTTCCCCTGTAAAAAATTGTTTCAGACGCCTCCCCAACCCGCCCATCGTTCGGCGACTTTGTCCCCACCTGTCGCCAGCTGACCGACTGTTTCGCGGACTCGGAATGCGGCCGCAACGGACGTTGCGTGGGGATTTATGTCGGGACATGTGATTGCGACGCCTGCGCGAACAACCAGAAATGCCAATTCGACCATCAATGCGGCGGACTGAAGGGCGCTTGCGATTGGGAAAAGGGGAAATGCAACTGCTCGAATGGCTTCAAGAAGAGCGGCTTTGAGAACTTTAACAGGGCCAGAGAGGAGTTCTGCAATATCAAGAAGTGTGTCAGAGATGGCGAGGAGTGTCATGGACTGCCTTGTCGCAAAGGCAAATGCATGTGCAACTGAAAAAAGATATATATATATATACTATATATATATATATATACGAATAATCGAATTGTAAGCGTTTTCGCGATGTTTCGAAACAATCGCGGATATAATCAATATAACCAATAAATAGAGAGGTGTAACAAAAATTCAAAGTCTTTGAAAATACGAGTCCTCTTTTAGTGATTTTTATAATTTTTTTTTCAAACTGTAAAGCAAAAACAAGTTATAATATATTTGCTCTTTTGAGACCGTTTTAAGGATTCTTTAACATTTTTTTCCATAAATGTTCTTATGTAATTCATCTCTAGTCCATGAAATCGCCCCTAGATGACTTTTGAGCATTTTTTCGACATTGATTTTTTTGTGAAAAATCCAATTTTTTTAACTATTTTGTCGAGAAAATAATGAAAACAATGTCGCTGAAGTGAAAAGCAATCTGATTTTGTCGCGACACAATTCATTTTCTCGGCGGCAATGCGATTTTCACTGCGACAAAATGCTCATTATTTTCCCGACTGAAAACTATACAATTATATGGGAAGAGCATCACCGATTTTACGCCATTTGTAGCATAATATTATACATACACTGGGGGACCTGATCCAGCGGCAAAAAACGTACCATTTTGCATCTGGGAAGTATCAAAAATGTGGCAAAATGCTTCCCTCTCCAAGTGGAAAAACTTCGTTTTGAAGGGTTGCCTCACAAAAAGAGAGCTCATTATTTTCCCGACAGACTGAAAAATGAAAAGAAGAACGTCATCCAAAGATGCTCAAAGACCATATAAAAAGCCCCAAAGATCGCATAAAAAGTCGACAAAACATTGTCGGCGCAAACAAGCAGGACAATGGAGCCGCGAGCCCGATCTATCTCAACCTTGGGGCCGCTTTCTCCTTCTCCTAATCTTGGCTTTGTTCGACGGGCGGCACTCTCTGCGCATTCGCCCATAACCTAATTTGTCCCATTTCTGGGCCCTCATTTCCCTCGCCCCGGGGCTGTTTATCTCTTCAACGGGCCCGCCAGGAGGAGGAGGGCAGTAGACTAAATTAACAACGTTTTAATAGTGCATATCACTGAAGCATCTCGAGATTAATGGAAATGAGATAACAGAGCAAATATGTATTACTGTAAGTTTTTTCTGGGAAAGTGACGATTTTTGACTCGGAAATGTTCATTGTGGAAGGCACAAACTTAAAGAAGAAGTGTTCCAACTGCGGCACGAACAATTCAAGGCTATTTATTCTAAGATTTTGATGAAACTTGGCATGAACTCAAACATGTGTTTTGTAAGATATATCCATGACTTTTAGCTTATGATCAATGTTTGATTTGCATGAAAAATTTAAAGAAAATCTGAGGATTGCGCTAGGGTTACCTGTTATATAGTGGCTGACCTGATCCAGTGCCAAAAAACATATCATTTTGCATCCCGGAAGTATCAAAAATGTGGCAAAATGCCTCCCTCTCCAAGTGAAAAAACCCGATTTCAAAAGCGCGCCCGCTCTTTTTGTGAGGGATACCCTTCAAAACAAAGTTTTTTCGTTTGGAGAGGGATGCATTTTGCCACATTTTTGATGCTTCCCGGATGCAAAATGGCACGTTTTTTGCCACTGGATCGGGCCGCCGCTTTAGAACATAGCAAAGTTTTTCGTGACATACTGGGCGGGCCCACACTTGCGGGCAGCTAGAAGAACAACTGAAATTCTGCAGGCATGTTTGGAGATCAGCCAAAATTTGTCTACAACAGAAAACTCTAACGACGGACCGGGCAGGAAAATTCCTTACTTTTAAAAGGTGTATAAGTGGCTTGAATGTTTACCACAGTTTTAACAAGGCATGTTTACCATTTTTTGAAAGCAAACTCCCATAACTTTGAAAGCGATGGGTGAATTCAATACATATAGATCCGTCAGATATCACTGCGAATTCTCAAAACTGAAAGATTTGCGAAAAACAGAAAATTTCTGGCTAATCTCACTTATCTGCCATCCCCATGAAAATCCACTCCTAGACAGACTTCCCAGAATCTGCTTGTTGTTCGACCCTCCGTGATTAGCATAATTCCCAAAGAAGCCACAAAAAAGTGACTATAATAGGGACGGAGCTGATAAATAGACATTAAGTCGGCGGCTAATTGTGCTGTAATCGTGAAAAGGGCAGTATTCATAAACAAAACTATTAATATTGAAGAGATTCTTTCGCAGGAAGAATTAGAGGGATTTGTACATAAAATGGCTATGTAATATGCATATAGAAATGGCAGGGTCGGGCTGAGCTCTTATGGGGCCGGGCTTTGGCTTTGATCAATTTTTTGGAGCCGAACTTCTGCTTTGAGATAGGAAATTTCAAGCCCCGACCCTTCACAAAAAAAATTTCTTGAAACGAAAAACTTTGATGCCAATTTTGGATTTTTGGCATAATGCAACAAGGTGTATTTGTGGCCCTGTAAATATCGGAAACATTTTTTTTTTATTCAAAATGTTTCTGGGAACGTTAAAACCCCCGTAAAACGAGCCCAAAACACAATGCCAAAATGGAGAAAAAATTGAAATTCAAAATTATCAAAAAAAAATTTTCTTTTGCTTTGCGATTACATAATATGTATTTTTTCGGTCGCTTAACTATTTATTCGTCATCCAAGGTCACTTCTACGTGCTCTCCAATCTACTACTGCACTCACTGCTAATCCTATAGAACTTTGTACTCGTAAACTTGCGCCGCCCCAGCCACCCAGCCAGCGGAACCATATGAAACCAAACAAACTTGGTTCATTCCCTGGCCCGCAAATTCCGTCAAACCCAACCAAATTGGATTGGGTAGTTAGCGGGAAATCCCGCGAAACCGCCGCTGGGCATTCCAGCTCGCAATCGAATTATTCGAATTCGATTTGGTCCACAAAAAACGGCTTTTGTTTAGTGCCGCTTTTTGCCGCAAATAACACGCGAAAAATATTATAAATAACGCGGAAGGAAGGAAGGAAGTCTGCGCAGTGTCTACGACAACATGCTCCGAGAGATGGAGAATGTGGGGAGAGAGAGAGCGGAAAAAATACTTTGCACAGTGCAACAGGGGGAAATGAGATGTTTTTGAGATGCGAAAGAAGAATAATGTTTTTAGAGCAGTCATAAAAATGGGATGAAGTACACCAGGTGCGACGCTCAGATTTTGATGAAACTTGCCGTAAATTTAGAATAATTTTTTCTAACACGGGAAGTACTCCAAGTGCGACGCTCAGATTTTCTTTAAATTTTGTACACACGTCGAGTACGGACTAAATATCAATTCCTGAAAGTTTTAGCTCGCGCTTTGCGGGCGCCGCCGAGATATCGAACGGTTTTTGCCCCCAAGCTAAACGTGGAGAGCGGTCAGAGAGAAAAGCGTTTTTTGGCCATAACTTTGGCAGTTTCGTGCGGAAAAATTTGATTTTTTGTAGAAACATTATTCTTTACCGTAGAAATTGGCATGAAACTTTTCGTGCCAAAATTCGGCAAAAAATCCTAAATTTTCGCCGCCTTTCGAGTTAAAAATCTCGGTTGTTTCTGCAAAGCGCGATCTAGGATTCTCGCATACACCTTACAGAATTAGAAAAAAAATCTGAGAATTGCAACTCGAGACAATGCAGAAATCACCGGGATTTTCACACCAAAAGTTGGGAAAAATTTGCCATTTTTCTCAAATTCTGACATAAAAATTTGTGTCGAAACTCAACCGTGGAGGGTAATGTTCCCACAAAAAATCAATTTTTTCCCCGTGAAACTGCCAAAAATACGGCTAAAAAAATTTTCGCTCTCTGACTACTCTCCGCGTTTCGCATACTCTCTCGGCTGAAAAGATTGTTGAATATCTCGGCTGTACCTGCAAAGCTCGAGCTAAAACTTTCAGAAATTGATATGTGGCCTATGCTCGAGGTGTGTGCAAAAGTTAAAGAAAATCTGAGCGTCGCACCTCAAACACTTCCTTTGTAAATTTTAGACTGCACAGCGGAAAAAAATCAAAATTTTCGGTTGCACAGTGTTGGATGCTCAAAAAAAAAAAAGTTTTTTTGCATTTTTTTGATTGCACTGTGCGCCTAAAAAATACAGTGAGGGGCTTGATCCAGTGGGAAGAACCGTACCATTTTGCATCCGGGAAGTATTAAAAATGTGGCAAAATGCTTCCCTTTGTGAAAAAACTTCGTTTTGAAGGGCGCGCCCTTTCCTTCACAAAAAGAGCGGGCGGGCTTTTGAAATCGGAGTTTTTTCACTTGGAGAGGGAAGCATTTTGCCACATTTTTGATACTTCCCGGATGCAAAATGGTACGTTTTTTGTCACTGGATCAGGTCCCCCATTGTAATCTACATTTCAAAATTGACCTTAAAAGGTCACTATATTTGAGCTATTGGTAGCCTTGCTTGAGCCCGAACTACTACTAGCAGCCGTACCATAAAGTGCGAAGACTTTTAGCTGCATAGTATGAAACAATCAACCATTATTTTTTTATGGAACTGTGCAAACAAAGCTTATATCTGAAAGTTGGAGTGGGCTATGCAAAATAAATATTTCATATCATCAAAAATGCCGTTATGCCCAAAAAGTCATAGAATTCTTTTACCTTTAGAAATAATTTTTCCTTTCTATACCATCCCCAATATTCATTAATTGTCACCATCCTATTATTCGCAAAATTTGGGTCCTCGGGCAATGCACGTCCTCAAGTATCAACAATTCGCATGTCGTCATCGCCATTCATCATCTTCCCCTCTTCAAATACACCGTCTAATATTTATTTCCTTTTTTTTGATTATAATAAAGAGGCCTGCACGGAAAACATTCGTATAAGACGGGAATTATGGAGAGGGATTTGCGGTTCACCGGTTGTTATTTATTTTTTGCGACGTCTAAGTGGATTTTAACTCGGCTCGAATCAGATGCAGAACGAGGCATTTGCAAGCTGGATATGGGGAAATATCGATAATATATAATAGTATATGTTTTGTACATATATGGGAAATTGAATAGATTATGGGAGAATTTAA